CCTATATTGCATTAGTATGTATAGGCGTTCATAATCATCCACCACCACCACCTGATCGTACGCCTGCTAATATTAAAGATGAATTGCAAATAATGATTCAAAATATAATTGCTTCAGATGATAATGCAACACCGCGTTCAATTATTGCAGGTAATTTTCTAAATATTATAATATTAATTTAATTATTATAATACCATATTAATATATATTATTTTAAATAGGAAATAGTGTTAAAGCAACTTTTGATAAAGATACTTTATCAGAAGTTCATGCATCATTAAATAATATAGACAAACTTCGATCACTTGTTGCTAAATGTTATAAAAATATTCATCCTTATGGTCAAGGCAATTTAGGAGTTTTATATAGTGTTCAATGTAAAAAATTTGACTTACATAATTATGTTCGTCGTATAGGTAAATAATATTTTTTCTATAAAATTATAATATTATATATTTTTTTTATTTATTAATAATTTATAAATTTTAAATTAGAACAATTTGAAGATGGACAAACATTAATTATATGTATACATGATTTTCAAGCAAAAGCATTACAAGAATTAAAATGCTTTCAGATTGATTTAACATTTAAGAGAGTGTCTGGAAATATTAATGAATTTGAAATTAATACATATGATAATATGCATAAATTAAGTAAGTAATTTATGTAATTTATTAATATTATTATTTTATTATTTTATATATTAATTAATTTTTTAATTTTTTTTTAGTTCTTTCTTATTGCCGAATTTATACCAATATTTTTACAGCAAATGCATATGAACGATTATTTACTCAACTTTTTGAAGTTATTGAAAATTTGAGTAAAATTCCTGTAAAATTTTATCATATTGATGGTACAGGTTGGGAATGTATTTTAGGTGATCTTGATGCAGGACAAGCAAAAGGGTTAGGTTTAGCTTTATCAAAAAGAGATCCTAGTAAAAATTGGGAAACACATTTGACTTATATTTTTAAATCATGTTTAGTTCATTTTAATCGGTAAAGTATTTTTTATTTAATTTAAAAATTTTATATTTTAAATTTTTAAATTATTAATTTTTTTTTTATTTAGAAACTTGAGAGCTAAAAAATTTAATAATGAAGTTCATTCATTAGCAGTATCAATTCCATCTAAAACTAATATTGAAGAGGTTTATAAATGCTTTGAAAAATTAGAAACTTTTGATAATCAACAGATTATAGGTAATTTTTTATTTTTTTTTTAATTGATATAGTAATTTTATAAATTTAATTAATAAAATTATTTTTCTAGATTGGATTCAATATTATCGTCAACCTTATGTTTTAGCATCTTTAAATAAACATGTTTCAAATATGAATAATGAAATTTGGGAACGATATGATAATAATACTAATATAGCAGAGGCTGCACATGCTCAAGCTAATAGAGAAGGAAAACAATTAAAACTTATTACAGCAATTTTAAGGTAATATTTTATATTTTTATTTTTTTTAATTTTAAAATAAAAATTTTAAATTTATTTATTTTTATTATTTTTATAGAGGTAAAAAATTAGATGAACGTCTTTTTAAAATAAAAGAAATTCATAATAAATCTGGAGTTCCTTATACTAGAAGAGACAAAAGTGAAATTAAAAGAAAAGCAATAGCTATTAACCGAAAAAGTAAGTAATAAATAGTATAAAGTTAATTTTTTTTATTAATAACTTTATTAAATAATTTAAAATTTTAAAGGTACTCGTAAAAGAAATTGTAAAGTAATATTAAAAGAAGAATCTAATAGTAAGTATTTTATTATTTTTTTTATTTAGTAATGAATTAATTTTAATTTTTTTAAAAACAATTATTAGAAAAAACAATGCATGATTTAACTAATCAAGAAGTATCTGATAAAAAAGGTATAAAAAGAAAAGCAATATTAGATAGTTCTAAAGTCAAAAAATCCCGAATTAATATTAATGAATCTGATAATGAACAAGAAAATAACTTACATTTAGAAGTTGATATTGAAGAACGAAAGATGAAATTAGCTGAAAGGCAATTAGCATATCGTAGAGCTCAAGCTGAAATTGAAAAATTAGAATTAGAAAATATTAAATTACGTAAAGAGCTTGAAAATAATTAGAAATTAATACATTTCATATAGTTAAAATTATGATTATATAATCAATAAATATTAAAATAAATAAAAAGCATTTTTCTTAAAAAAATAAAAATTAAATATGTTAAAAGATATTTTGTGTATTTTTGATATCAAAAGTTTAACGAAAAAATAGAAAAATCAGTTAGTATCGAAAATTCATACATGTATAGAATTGCATTTTCTAGAAACTATACATGTATGATTTTTAAAATGATGATCTATACATGTATGATTTTAAAGCATACATACCATACATACATTAAAAAAAACCCCCGTACAATACATACATTACTAACCGTACCATACAGGTTTGTGTAATACCCACAAATTTGAAATTGTGAGTTTTGAGTAATTTACTAAGATGCAAATTAAAAATTTTTCGACAAAATTCTTGCATCTCTATATTAATTTTTCTCTCGATGGTAGATAAAATTTTCTATTTCAGTGATAAGATAAGATTGTTCATGGAATCAATCATTGTTAACGATTATCCACTATTCCATACCTGTGCTAGGTTGATTGATATCCATAACGAATTCATTAAAGTTTCACAATTAGAGCGCAGTTACGCCTTTTTATTAATTCTTTTTATTTATTTGCTAAAAAAAAAATTAGGGCTGAGTTCATTATTGCTTATTAATTTCAAATAGTATTTGTCACACAGATGCACCTTTAGATAATGTACAATGGTTAAGTGATCTACAATATGTATACATATATATAATGAAGTTCGTTTAAACAATTTAATTGTGCAAAGAAAAAAAAAATATGTAAAAATTAAAAATGTTAAAAAATACCAATTTAAAAGATTTAAAATATTATATTGAATGGTTAGAGAATTCAATTGCTAATGAACATATCAAACTTTATGAACAATCGAATTTCAAAAATAAGCAGTACATAGGAAAAGGTTCTTATGGGACCGTTTATCGAATTAACTGGAATAATAAACGTTTTTTCGCTCTAAAAACTTTTAACAATAATAGAGAAGCCACTAAAGAAGTTGTGAAAGAGGTAAAATTATTTTGTGATTTCTTTAATAAAAAAATAAATAAAACTAAATTTTTACTTTGTACGGTGTTTTGTAAACACAGTTGAAACTGCATAGAAAAGTTAATAATCATGAAAATATTATACGTTTACATGGAGTAACAATGACAGAACCTAGTGAGTATTATAATTGTTGAACTTTAATATTATTACTTTTAATTTATAATGTCGTTATTTTCATTACAGATGTATACTCTTTAGTCTTAGAATATGCCGATAGCGGCACATTAAAATCTTATTTAAATAAGCATTACAATGAACTAAATTGGGATGACAAACTTCAGCTGGCACTACAACTGTCAAGTGCTGTAGAATTCTTGCATGAAGAAGACATTATCCATCGCGATTTGGTATAAGATTTCACTTTTTTTAATCTGAATACTAAGATATACAAACTTTATTATTATTAATATTTTTTTTTATCCAATTAAGCACGCGGACAATATACTTGTTCATCAGAAAATCATTAAATTATCAGACTTTGGTTTATCAAGAAAAGTTACTGAAGTTTCAAATAATTCAAAAATATTTGGCATAATTCCTTATGTGGACCCAAAAAGCTTAATCAACCAATGTTACAAATTAAATAAAAAATCCGATGTCTTTAGCACTGGAGTGCTTATGTGGCAAATTTCAAGTGGACGCTCACCATTTTATGGTGCTAATTATGATGTAGGCTTAAGCATTGATATAGTTGGCGGAAAAAGAGAAAAAGTTGTTGACGGAACTCCTATTGAGTATTGTAAATTATATAAAGGTAATGCAAATGAATATTTTTTTTAAAAAAATATTTATAGATTTATGTATAATTCACTAATTATTTACAATTATTAGCATGTTGGAAAAATGAACCAAATGAACGTCCTAATATACAGGAAGTTGTTTCAACACTTGAAGTTATAATTTCTCCCAAACTAACTCGTGCAAATATTGACAATATTATTGACAATGAAATCAATAGTAATGAATCTAGTAATTCATTTAGCAAACGAACTATAAATTATGATTCCAATTTAGATAAATTAGATATTGCGAATTTGGTTCAAAATACTTTCCAATTGAAAATATTTATTGATGAGTTAATCGTAAATATAATTGAAAAACATGACAGAGGCATTATGATTAATCCGATTAAACAATATATCATTCAACATATATTACAAACGAATCAAGGCAAAGACAAATTCATAGAGTGGTTATTAAATCAAGACAAATCAAAATACATTTGGCTTTTGGGATTATTTTATTATTTTAATATGGGTATAGAAGAAAAAAGAGTTAATCCTTTTGAATTATTTTCAAAAGCATCGGCACATGATTTTTCGATTGCACAGGTCTATTTGGCCAAGTGCTATTATGATGGGTATGGAACTGAAAAAAATTATAATTTAGCTTTTAAATTTTATCAAGAATCAGTAAAAAATGGAAGCATTATTGGGCTATATTATTTGGCAAATTGTTATAAATTTGGCATTGGAACCGCTATTAATAATGCGAAAATGTTCGCATTGTATCAAACAGCAGCTGAAAAAGAAAATAGTATGGCTCAGACTTGTCTCGGATTATCATATGAATATGGTAAAGGAATAGAAAGAAATTTAGAAAAGGCTTTTTATTGGTACGATAAAGCAGCAAAGAATGGACATGAAGCAGCGCTATATAATTTAGCCAGGTTTTACAAATATGGCATATATTTTACAAAAGACGAAACTAAAGCGTTAGAATATTATAAACAATCAGCTAAAAAAAATTATGTTGAAGCACAACTACAACTTGGATATTGTTATTCAAATGGAATTGGAACTAAAATTAATAAAGAAATGGCTTTTGAATCATATAATATAGCAGCTAATAATGAGCATATTACTGCACTATATAATTTAGCTGTATGTTATCAAAATGGAGAAGGTACCAAGAAAGATCTTATTAAAGCTTTTGAATATTACGAAAAATCAGCTAAAAAAGATTTAGTTGAAGCGCAAGTTCAACTTGGAAATTGTTATGCTAATGGAATTGGAGTTGGGGTTAACAAGGAAAAAGCATTTGAACTTTATAAAATAGCGGCTCAAAAAGAATATGATCTTGCACAATATAATTTGGCTTTATGTTATCAAAATGGAATAGGTATCGATAAAAATGAGGACTTGGCTTTTTTATATTATAATAAATCAGCTGAAAAAGGTTATGCCGATGCACAATTTAAACTTGGATATTGTTATTATTATGGAATAGGAACTAATATTAGTTATAACAAAGCATTTCAGTTATACACAATAGCAGCTGCTAAAGAACAAGTTTATGCACAATATAATTTAGCACAATTTTATAGGTTAGGAATTGGTACCGAAAAAAATACAATTAAGGCATTTATGTATTATACAAAATCTGCTGAAAAAGGATATGTTGAAGCAGAATTTAAACTCGGATATTGTTATGATTACGGAATTGGAACCAAAATTGATAAAGGAAAAGCATTTAAATTATACAAAATAGCAGCTGAAAAAAAATGTATTGCTGCGCTATATAATCTTGGACAATTTTATAGATTAGGAATAGTTGTTGAAAAAAATGAAGCGAAAGCTTTTGAATATTATAAGCTATCAGCCGAAAATGGATATATTGACGGAAAATTTAAGCTTGGATATTGCTATTATTCTGGAATTGGAACTGAAATTAATAAACAAAAAGCATTTGAATTTTGTAAAATAGCGGCCGACAATGAACATATTTATGCACAATATAACCTTGGACAATTTTATAGTTTAGGAGTAGGTACTGAAAAGAATGAAGATAAAGCTTTTGAATATTATAAAAAGTCGGCTGAAAATGAATATGTTGAAGCAGAATTCAAACTTGGAAATTGCTATTCAAATGGAATTGGGACTGAAATTAATAAGGAAAAAGCATTTGAATTGTATAAAATAGCAGCTGAAAAAGGATATGGTATGGCTCAAAATAGCATTGCATTATTATTTGAATATGGTAAATCTACAGAAAAGAATTTGGAAAAAGCCTTTTACTGGTATAACAAAGCAGCAATAAATGGAAATGGCATTGCACAATATAATTTGGGCAGATGCTATCAATATGGGATTGGCAATAATAAGGATGAGCTTAAGGCTTTTATGTATTATCAAAAGTCTGCTGAAAAAGGATATGCCTTTGCGTTATTCCAGCTTGGTTATTGTTATGATTATGGAGTTGGAACATATGCTAATAAAGAAAAAGCATTTCAATTATATCAGGTTGCAGCTGAAAAAGAATATATTATAGCCCAAAATAGCCTTGCATTTTTATATGAAAGTGGACAAGGTATAGAAAGAGATTTGAAAATTGCTATTTATTGGTATAATAAAGCGGCAGAAAATGGAAATGAAGTGGCACAATGTAATATGGGTCGATGTTATAGATTAGGAATCGGTGTTGCAATAGATGAAATCAAATCTTTTGAATATTATAAGGATTCAGCTGAAAAGGGATATAGTATAGCTCAATATTATCTTGGTTATTTTTATGAAAATGGCAAAAGTATAAAAAAAGACTTGGAAAAAGCTATTTATTGGTATAATAAAGCAATAGAGAATGGATATGAGATTGCGCAATATAGTCTAGGAAGAGTTATTAAATTAGAAATAAGTTTTAAGCAAAATAAGAAGGATGAATCTGAGGCTTTTGATAATTATCATTTATATGAAAATGGTGAAGGCATTGAGGAAAATTTGAAAAAAGCATTTCGTTGGTATAATAAAGCAGCAGAAAATGGTGATGCAATAGCACAATACAACATGGGTGATTGCTATAGTTTAGGAATAGGAATTGAAAAAGACGAACTTAAGGCTTTTAAACATTATAAAAAATCTGCCAAGAAAGGGTATAGTTTAGCTCAAAATAATCTTGGGTTATTATATGAAAATGGAGAAATTATAGAAAAAGATTTAGAAAAAGCTATTTATTGGTATAAAAAAGCAGTAGAAAATGGAAATGGGATTGCTCAATATAATTTAGGAAGATGTTATCAATATGGAATTGGTGTTAAAAAGGATGAAGTTAAGGCGTTCATGTATTATGAACTATCGACTGAAAGTGAATACAAATCTGCACAATTTCAACTTGGTTATTGTTATTCAAATGGAATTGGTACCAAAATTAACAAAGAGAAATCCTTTCAATTATATGAAATTGCTGCTAAAAAAGAACATAGTATGGCACAAAATAGTCTTGCGTCGGCGTATGAAAACGGCGAAGGTACAGAAATTAATTTGAATAAAGCTATTTATTGGTATAATAAGTCGGCAAAGAATGGAAACGCAGTTGCTCAATACAATATGGGAGATTGTTATAGGTTAGGAATAGGTGTTAAAAAAGATGAAATTAAAGCGTTTGAGTTTTACAAAGAATCCGCAGAAAACGGTGACATTGATGCAAAATTTCAACTTGGACATTGTTACATGAATGGAATTGGGATAGAAATCAATGAGAAAATGGCATATGAATCATATAAAGAGGCAGCTGAAAGTGGAAATAGATTTGCTCAAAAGAATCTTGCATTATTATATAAAAATGGTATAGGTACAGAAAAGGATTTAGCAAAAGCCAGTTATTGGTTTGAAAAATCAGCAGAAAATGGCAATAATACACAGAGTAATTTAAGCGAATTATCAAACAATGAAATTAGATTTTATAATAGATCGGTAGAAGGTGGAAACATGATAGCGAAATTTTATCTTGGATATTGTTATGTAATGGGAATGGTGTACCAATAAATAAAGGAAGAGCTTGGGTTATAGAGGTAGTTAAAAAAGAAAGCTGTGTTGGTCATAGCAATCGATTTGATGTTCTTTAATTTTAAGTTTTCTTGCTAATGAAATTGTTTATTGGTTTCAAAAAGCAGCAGAAAATGATGATAGAGTTGCGTTGTATAATTTAGACTAAATCTATGAATTATGCAAATAAAGCCGAGGAAAAATATATTATTTAGAATTTTAGTTTAGAATGCATATTTAAAGGCTGGTTCCTTTTTCTTGTGAATATTTTCTTTTTTTGTCAAGTTAGCACTTTTATTTTTTTTTTTTCGTATTATAGACAATTTTATTTCATATTTCAACTTGTAAATTTTTTGTATATAAATGTAATAAAATTATGCAATTTCTTGCTTTATCTGTTATATCATATGCTTTACGACTATCAATGAACTTCTAAATTTTCAAAATATTTGTTTTTTTTATAAAGATATTAAGCTGAATATAAAAGTATCGTTTCAAAATAAAATTAATAATATTTTATTTATTTACCGAGGCATTTAATGGAATGAAAGTTCATATATAATCTCGTTATTGTCATTTTTGATTTAAAGTAATATTAACGAGTTATTTTTTAAATCCTTTCTTTAAATTCTTTAAAACAATCTTGGATTTAATAATATCAAGAATTTTTTTTATAATATTTACAGTATATGGAACACTACCCCAATTTATTTTTGTCAAATATAGGCGCTTTGCAGTAGAAAAGGAAAATATAATAAAAAAATAATATATATTTTACTTTTTATGATAAGAATTATTTTTTTGTAAAATTATTCCAGACTTAAAATATGTACTTCCTTTTTCTGCAAAACGTCCAATTTGTTCTTAAAGCCGCGATATAGCTCGGGCTGAATTTTGAAAATAAAAAAATACTAACTGTGAAAAAAAGCTCTGATTTTAATTTTACGAAAAATGTGACACAAAATAAAAAATGGAAATAATTAATATAAATGAGGTTCTAATTGATTTGAATCACATTCAACTATTTGAATATAACGACAACAAATAAATTTTATATTCGTCACTTTATAACGATTTAATTGTTGAAAAAAAATTATTAAACAGTTTATTAACCTCGTCAAATATGATGTTTTTTTATTTACTTGCCGATCAAATTGTGGCGCGTCATACTTAAATTTTGATTGGCTAATTAAAAATTGGAAAATTTCAAATTTTCATTGAAATAAGTAAGTTTAAAGGCGCAAAGCAAAAATATTTTAAAATTTTGAATGGGAAAATAAAATTATCACAGCTGCCACTTATGAAACAAGTTGCACATTGTAGCATTTACGAGTATATATTCTTTCATTTTAACGTAACAAGAGCAATTAAAGTTAATTTTTTAAAAGAAACAAAATTTAATGTTAGCATAACCTAACCATTTAAAATCATGACAAAGTAAATCAAAAATTATTAAACTCAAACAATCCAATAATTATTTATTTTTATTTATTTATTTCATTCGTTGCAAAATTCAGAACGATTTCCTTCATATGATGTAAAGTTATTTCTTTTTCTTAGATTCAAGTTTTTCCACACCCAAACAATCCAACTTTCTTTTTTTACTTTCATCATCACTAGAACTTCCATCACTAGGACTTCCATCATCCGAACTTTCATCATCGGATTCATTTTGCATGTCGTTTAAATCATCGAGAGCGTCAGGATGTCCGATCGACTTTAAAGACTTCTTCAGTTTATCATAACATTTAGGTTGTTTCATGATCATATTTCCGTTAAGTTCCAATCTAGTCAGATCTTTTAGGCATTTTCTGATCGTATCAGCTAATGACAAGTACCCGTCATCATCTATGTAGTTATACTGAAGTCCGAGAAATTCGAGCTTTGTGTTTGATTTTTTTGATAATGCGTTTAAAACAAAATTTACTTGTATTGAAGTAAAAAAGCAAGAGCTAACGTTCATGTGTTTTAAATTGGACCACTTGTTCATGTATGATCCAAATTGGCTTGCCAAATCGCCGCTTAAATTGTTGTCTTCCAGATCGAGAAACTCCAGCCCACGACATGATTTTAAACCTTTTAATAATTGAGGGAAATGCTTGAAATTAAGGTTGTTTCGAGATAAACATACCTTTGTTAAGGTAGTATTATGTTTGATGAAAATTTTACCCAACAATGGTGTCGTGCGACTAGATCCTAAAACATTCGCTCTGGCAGAAAGTGTTTTCAAAAATGAAGACTGACTTTTTGAATTTAATATAGATTCAAAAAGGATCTCTCCTCCTAATTTACCCAATCCAGTGTCATCGACAATTATGCTTTGCAGATTTACATTCTGCGTTAGGAATTTCTTCATTTCCTTAATCGCTCCAGGGGCGAGCGCATTGTTACTAATGTTTAGTTCGGATATTGGTTTATCCTCTATCACGCTGAATATCTTTTTAACGGCTGATACGATCTCATCATGGTTTTTTGTCGTAAAAACGCAACATAAGTTTAATTTCTATTCATCATGATCAAATAGTCGGTTAGATATTTTTTTCTTTTTTTAAAAAAAAAAAAAAAAATTATTTGTAAAATGAAGGAAGGATACAACTAACCTGTAAATTTTCTTTCGTTCTAAGTATGTCTGTTATTCTTACAATATCATCGTACGATAAGTTACGTAAGCTAAGGTCGATTTCTTCAAGTTCAAGTAACCTGGAAATATTGTCAATAATTTCATCTAAGGGCGGACTTCCGTTCATCGTGAGAAATGTAAAAAAAATCGAATAAAATGCATAAACATTGGGTACTTAATAGAAGATGCATAGTGTCAAAACAAGGATTACTGAGCATGATTAATGAGCTAAATTGGATTCTCCCCATGCGCTATAGTCCAGATTTGCACAAGCTGGAAAAAATGAAAATCCTAAACAATCACGTGATTCCGTTATGAAAATAATTCATTGGTAACTTTCAACATCACATTTATAACTAGAAATTGATAATAGTAGGACACCCAACTTATTGATCTACTCTTATTAGTATTGCAATGTGAGAGAGTATGTAGCATGTCATTTACAATCAAGTACTCAGATCAGATAGTAAAGCTTTTCGTATTATATACGAACCTTATATTTTTCCAAGCTTCGTTAATTTCTCTGTTGATTTGACTTATCGATTGATTCGAACCATGTTAAATTTAACGATCACAGTTTTTTTTTTTTCAAGAATTTTAATTTTGTAGATCAAATAACGCTTAGCATTTTAAAATATTTTTAATTTTTATTTATACAAATTATAATCTAAATTAAACTATTCTTTTTATATAAAAATAAAACAATTTATAAATATTTCAAGTAATTATTATTTCGTTATTTTATAAATAAAAGTTTATTTTTACTGTACTGTAATAAATGGTTCATTGCTATCATACCGATTGTCTGTGACACTTTCGATGAACAAATTTTATTCATTTTCTCATTATTAATTATTATTACCGCCAAATAATTTTACTCAAAATGTTGAAATTGATATAAAAAATACTCAATCACCATTTTTCATTCAATTTGCTGTTTGATAAAAAAATATAAATTAATATAAAATAAAAAAATCAAGTAAAAAATTAAAACTTTATTTATACTGTATGTACGTACCTATTGCGTCATATGTCGACATAAATACCGGCCCATTTTTATATTATAGTATCCCGTCGACAATTGACGCAATCGAATATATAAAAACCTTACCATTTATTTCATCTATAGTAGCGTGCATTTGAACCTAATGATACATGAAACAGGTAGATCCAACCTTTATGCTATTGTTGCCAATACGCCAAAAATGAAGAACAAGAAATGAATTTTATTTATTTTTGCATAGGTTTAACTTTATGACTTTGTGAATTTTATACAATGAAACAATCTATTGAATATATTGTGATTTCCTAGTTTTTTTTTTTTTCCTTCGACGCGTTTATCAATTGATCCAATTGATCAGGGTACACAACAAATCATGAGACTGAGATTTGTCACTCACATCATCTACATTAACCCAACCCTTTTTTATCCATGCTGCAAAGGTAAAAAAAATTGTTCGACAATCTTTTTACAATTAAATAAATTATAAATGAGTGGTAAAAATGCAAGAAAATATCAACGATCAAAGATGTACACATTCTCATTTATTTGAATTTGTATTTGTACTTTTCTGTCTATTCAAACGTTGGTGGTTACATATTTTAAACATCAAAGATGTTCGCGTACGAGATGCATCTTATTCATGACGGAGCTCAGATTCCATAAGATCATTTACCGATTATTTACAACTTCAATTATCACCGCAAAGTTAACGAAAAATTCATACTATTGTAATTTTTTTTTTTTAAAGGATTTTATCGTAAAAATTACTTGTACAAAGCGTTATTTTTTTTTTAGAAAAAAAAAAAAATAGATAAGGAGGATAAGGCCATGTAATATTTTTTTATATTTTATTGTAACGGAGATAATTTTATTTTTTTAAAAAAAAAATACCTTCCGAAAGATAAATCGAGATTTTTTGAGGACGTTTTATTATAAAGGTCATTTGGAGTTTTCATTCCGAAAGAGAGATGTCCCATGTTTCAAAACTTACGTGATTTGCGATTGAACATTTGAACATTTGCGTCCTCTTCTTTATCGTTAATGATTACTTCCAATCTCCAATATTTACGCACTTATTCTCTTAAAAAAGATGATAACGGCGTGAATTCGGTGTCTTAACAATGACATGTAAATTTAATTTTATTAGTTTTACAGGGAAATCTTAATTAACGTAACGCAAAAAAAAAAGAAAGAAAAATCAGACGTTTGGTTCGAAAATAATTGAGAGGTACGATATTATTTTTTTCTTTTTTCGGCAAAGAATATCAAAAGGATGCTAAAAGGCTCGTGTTACTACTTGACTTCATTAACATATACATTTAACAAGAAACAAAAAAAAAAGTTACTTTCAACCTCTTTGCAGAATGTATCCTCAAAGTGGCAATAAAATGAATTATTGTTAGTTAATCAATCGAAAGTTTGTTCGGTACATTCTTTGCATGTTCAATGAAACATCAATTTTAAAAAAAAATTTTTTTTTTTAATATGGACAATTTATTTTCAAAATGATTTAAACACGTAAGGAGGGAAAATTTCATATATGTTGCCTAGTGAGCTCCTATTGTGTGCCCCACGCAATATAGATACATATTTTTTTTTTTAGAGAAGATATGATTTTGATGCGATACATTTTTGATGATCTATTCAGTCTTATAATAGTTAGTTGTACAGATCTTCATCTTCAGTAATGCACCTCGTGTAAATTGAATTTGAAGTTTATATAGCTATTATAGCTACAGCTATTGCTATAAGCTTCTAAGAATAAATTCATGATTTAAAATTTCCTGTATTGGTGTAGTCCAATAGTGAATACTAAAAAGTATGTTATAACACTTTTTAATTGTTCATCACAATATTCTAGTTAGAAGTATGGTATAGGCTTTTAAATAATTTAAATAAAATAGTAGTTCTTGTAAGTAAGTATCACTTGATGTTCAAAGTTAAACCAAACCCAAAAGTATATAAAACTATCTTCAAGGTTATTATTTGCAGGTGGAGAATAACACCAAAATCAAGTATAATCTTTGTTTAAACTAGTATTAGAATAGTGCCTAATAATAGTCCTTTCAATCAGGAATGTTCTATTGTTTATCTTTTTTATTTACAGATTAGATAAATACAAATAGACAGATAGCAAAATCTAATCACTAACCAGAACAGAAATAATATATATGAAATAGGTCTCATTAAAAAAGTTGTCTCTGAAACCCTTTTACTATTTGATGAATTTATGACAGAATGGATTTTCATTATTTTTTCAAGGTGAGCGTAAGAAATTTATATACCTTAATTATTTTAAAAATAGAAATCATTACTATTATAATTGGAAATACTGATTAAAATCCTGTTTTTCATTATTTATCTAATTAATATTGATCTTATTCTAATCAAATTAGAGGAATCTTAACCTAGACCCCGTATCTAAGATAATATTCTAGACCCCCAAATTTGATTGATTCATCATCATTAGCCATATTGGTTATTTACTTGTTTATCATTTACCATTATTAATAATAATAAATCTTTTTCTTCTTCCATTTTTCTCCCTTTTTTCATGTTTTAAAAATATATTTAAAAGTTTTGTTAATTATTAAAACTTTAACAGCAGTTCAGGACTTCAGGTGTAGAATATTATTATGAAATTATGACATTTTCATAAGTAATTTCATAACAAACGCGTTTTTCGTATAATATAAGAATTTCACAGTGTAATTTCAGTACTTTAGTTAAACTAAACAAGTTAAACATGCATAAGTAATGTTATTCAGCAGGTATAGAAATATTTACATATTAATTTTCGCGAGTCTAGCTTTAATAGTTGTGCAGTTATTGATTTTTTTGTAATATTATTAAATTGCGTTTTATTTTTTTATTTTCAAATCGTAATTTGAACATTCTGGTCAAATAAAACAAATAAAAGATTTGTTCAGCGGTATAGAAATACTTGCACAATAATTTTCGTGGGTTTATCTTGAATGGTTGTAAAGTTATTGATTTTTTTATGATAATACCAAAACGCGTTTTATAGTATTTAATAATAAAATATAATTATTAATTCTAATATTGATTTTTGGCATATAAAATTCAAATAAATTTTCATTTTAATAAAGCTTGTATTTTCAAGATTAAATAGTTACTTTTTACAATGATTTATTGTTAAAAAATTTTTATTTATTTTTTAATGTTATTTTTTAATATTTAAAAGTCTGTGCGAAATGCAAAAATAGATAAAATATTTTATTTTCTAAGATAAATGTTATATGAAAATATAGGATGATATGAACCAATCATATTTAAGGAAAGGGAGAGTCTAGGATATTATTTTAAACCCAGGGTCTAGGATAAGAGTGCTCAATCAAATTATATCAAATCAGAATTAGATCACATGTACTTTATTTATAATAAAAATATTTGATCACGTTATATTTTTGATGTTTATATTTAGAAGTAAACAAAAATAATAATTGATTTATATTTTTTTTTTTATTTTTATTTTTTTTATCTTAATTTTTTTTCAAAATAAAATTATAAGAAAAACTTAAACAAATAAAACTTTTTCTTAAAGAAATTACATAAAATACAAATATTACTACCATTAAAAATACTAATATTCTTATTGTAAAACCAAATTAACATTATATGAGTTCTGCCAAAATTTTTAATTTTTAAATTATTTTTAAAGTCAAAAGTACACTTTTATATATTGGCTTTAAAATAGTTTTACTATTAAATATAAAGATCAAGATATAAGCCTTGTTACAAAAGTTATTAAAAAAGTATATCATATATTATTTGTTTAATAAATTATAAAATATTTATTATTATTTTATATTTTTTAAATTTTAAATAGTTTAAAAAAAAATAAAAATTTACAAGTTGGAAAAGCTAGTTAGCTCATAAAAGAATGTGTAAAAAAAAATCTATAATATATATGAGATTATAATGTTCGTAAAAATAAACTTCTTCAAAAAAAAAATGATAAATTACCAACCTCATCATCACCAAAATCATCACTAACACTAATATTAACACCATCATTATTACTATTATTAATACTAATATTAATACCAGAAGATAAAGCATTAAAAAAATACCAATTCCAACTCCAACTCCATCAACATCAACACAATACTAATAACAATACTGATATTACAGCTAATTTCATAATTCGTGGACCACTAATAAATTGCGACTGAATGCGACTGAAAATACTTTATAATAAAATTACTATAAAATATTGCGACTGAATGCGACTGAAAAATTATTAATGGTCCATGAATTATGAAATTAGCTGTAACTCCTATACTAATATTAATATTAACACTAATATTAATACTAATATTAATGCTAATACTAATACTTACGTCAATATCAATATTAATACTAATAGTAATGCCAATATCACTCATAGAAAGTAAAACTTAAAAGTTTATTTAGATTTAAGTAACACTTAATTTTTTTTAATCTATAATAATAAAAAATACTTAATTTTATATTAATCAATATTAGTAAATGAAAATGAAAATGAAAGTATTACTAATAATAAAGCTAATACTATTACTATCAACATTACCTCTAAATTTTTTTTATCTTATAATAAAAATTTAAGTAAAATTCTTATTAATTTATTATATAGTGATAGTTTTATATTAATTATATATTAATAAATATTAAAGAAAAAGAAAATAAAAATTTTTCAAGTAGTAGAAATTATAATAAAATTAAAAAAGGTAAGAAAATTGTTCAAATTTTCATTATTTTTTTAAATATTTATAAAACTCTATTATTTTTATTTATTTTTATTAATATTAATTCATATTAAAGAAATATCACAAAAAAGAATAAGAAGAGGAGGAATTAAAAAATAATTTTTTTAATACTTTTTTAGTAATTTTTTATATTAATAAATTTATATGATTTAATATTTAAAAAATATACATACATGATTTTGAACACGTTTATTAATTATGAAATATATGTTTTATACATATTTTTGAACATGTTAATTAATTATGAAATATATGTTTATACATATTTTTTAAACATGTTAATTAACTATAAAATATATGTTTTATATATGTTTTTTAACATGTTTATTAATTATAAAATATATGTTTTATATATGTTTTTGAATACGTTTATTAATTATGAAATATACGTTTTATACATATTTTTTGAACATGTTTATTAACTATGAAATATACATTTTATACATATTTTTTGAACACGTTTATTAACTATGAAATATACGTTTAATACATGTTTTTTTGAATATGTTTATTAATTATAAAAATACATTTTATACATGTTTTTTGAATACGTTTATTAACTATAAAATATACGTTTTATACATATTTTTTAAACACGTTTATTAACTATGAAATATACGTTTAATACATGTTTTTTGAATACGTTTATTAATTATTAAATATACATTTTATACATGTTTTTTGAATACATTTATTAATTATGAAATATACGTTTTATACATGTTTTTTGAACATGTTTATTAATTATAAAATATACATTTTATACATGTTTTTTATATACGGTTTTTCCCACATTTTCATATTAAGTTTAAGTTTTTTACCTAATGAAAAAACATATATAATACATTAAATTTCCATAAAAATTATGTTATAAAACTTATAATTTTTAAGAAAAATTTATATTAATTTTTTATTAGGCTACTTTAGATGAATCATTGAAAAAAACTTGAAAATATATCAAGAATATTTGCCTGGCATATTATCATCTTCTACAAATCCTTCAACATCAATCAATAATGCTACTTATCAATATTTCACATATCTTCAATAATAAAATGCAATACCTATTAATGATATACATATTTTATCACTTTCTTTAACATTTATAATAGAATTAGATCATTATTTTACATTATAAATTGATGAGAAAACTGATCCTTTTATGTGATAGCAAGTGCATGTTAAAGAATATCCAATTTTAAATAATATTGCAAGAGATTATCTTATAATTTAAGCAACTAGTGTTGCATCAGAATAAGGATTCTTAGTTGCTGATAATACTATTACAAAACTAGAAATAGGTTGTTACCAAAAATAGCAAGAGCTTATTTATGCATGAAAAGCTGGATAACTAATAAGTTATAAAAATTAAGGTTCTGCAATTCGATTTGATATTTGAATATTTGATTTAAAAATCAAATTAAATACAAATACAAATTTATATTTGATTTATTTGATCAAATTCAAATCAAAGAATGATTTATTTAATTAAATCCAAATTAATGTTTGATTCGATTCAATCAAATTCAAATCAAGTATTTAAATATTTGATTTGATTTGAATCAATAATAAAGCCATCTCCAAAGCTTTAGGAGTGGCTCTTACTAAAAAACCATAATAAAAAGTGCCTTCGTGGCTTTAGAATACCTTTTTTACTAAAAAAACTATAGCAAAAAGCACCTCTGAGGCTTTGAAAATGCCTTTTTACTAAGAAAACCATAGTAAAAAGTGCTTTCGCAGCTTCGGAAATACTTTTTTTACTAAGAAAACCATAGTAAAAATGACTCTGAGACTTCAGAAATGCCTTTTTACTAAGAAAAACATAGTAAAAAATGTCTTTGCGACTTCAGAGACGTTATTTTACTAAGAAAACATAGTAAAAAATGCTTCTGCAGCTTCAGAGACACTATTTACTAAGAAAAAATAGTAAAAAATGCCACCGCAGCTTCAGAGATATTTTTTACTAAGAAATCTAGTAAAAACCACGTCTGCAGCTTCAGAAACGTTTTTTACTAATAAAATTATTACAAAGCTGAAATGGCAATTATTACTTAGTAAAACTGAAGCTGCTATAATGGTTATTACTAAGTTTTCTTAGTAAACCGAAATCATGATGGCGGTTATTACTAAGTTTTTTTAGTAAAACCGAAACTGCAGAGTTATTTTACTAAGCTTAATAGTAAAATTCACCTGTTACTAAACTTATTTTGTAAAAGCTATCTTTGAAATTTTTTAGTGCAATTACTAATAATTTTCTTAATTAAAACTTTAGAATAACTTTATTTTAATATATCATTGTAAAAATTATAAAAATTTATATTTGATTTGATTCAATTTGATTTGATTCGATCAAATTCAAATCAATTCAAATTAATTTGATCAAATATTTGAGTTCAATTTGATTTGATTCGATTTTGAGGAACCCTAGTAAAAACAATAATAGTTTTATTTTATTAATTCTTATAATAAATATATAAAAATTTTTTAATTATCATTTATTAAAAAATAAATATGTTTTTGCTAATTTAGTTATAAAAAAAATTATTCATATATAAATTAAACTGTAATTAATATATTAATAATTTTTTATATAAAAATTTTAAATTTATTAGTTTAGATTGATTATTAAGAATTTAAAAAACTGTTATTAGAATCGATTCTAAAATAAGTTTAGTTCAATTCAACTTTTATAACTGGTTCTAACTGAACTGTTCAAATTGGTTATCTGGAACTGATTCTATGAAACCTAATTCGGTTCAGTTTCACTATTAGAACCAGTTTTACAGAATTGAAACTGAACTAAATCAAACTGCTCCATCTCTAATGTGGAAATAAAAAAGTATTAGTATTACTAGGCAAAATATATAATTTATAATTCCAGCCAAAATTATAATAATTTAAAAAAGCATAAATCTATATAATCACACCTTTATATATTTACCGATTTGTTGAAACTGATTAGGTGGCTATATAAAGATCTGACTGTATTATGATTCACAAAATTGTTTTAAAAGAATGATATAAAAGAGAATATAAATTAGGTTAGAAATTCAGAATATATTTAAATAGTATTATTATAAAATATAAATACAGATATAGAATTAACTGAACCAGAAAATTTGTGCTTATGTCTAAGATTTTTTTATGTTTGTGATTTTTTGTTTACATAATACTAGTTACATCACTTATTAATTATGACCAAAAGATATTTAATATCAATTTTAACTATTCTGCAGATAAAATCTTAAACATGAATTTTCAAATATCCTATATTTGCCAAAAATCATTGGGATAACATATATAACATTATATTTAAATATTAGGATGCAAGTTAGCTTAGCTATTAGTAAAGATGGTTCCCATAATTATTTTTAAAATTTTTAGCTAGTTGTAACTTAAGTTGCAACATTTTATAAATTTTTATATTAAAATAAATTTACAAGGAGTTACAACCAAGTTGCAACTTCTTAATTATGGTACCCATCTTTAGCTATTAGGTTAAAATTTATTATTGTTATATATAATAAATTGCTATATTAGTTATTAAATTAATAAATTTTATTATATAAAAATCATAGGATATATATACTTTTTGATACTAAAAAATATTTTCTATTTTAAATTAATATAATTAAATATAATCTAATATTTTTACATACTTTTAAGATAAAAATCAAATTTTAATAAAATAGATTAATATATATTTATTTTACTTAAATAAATTTTTTAAATTAATATCTATATATTATTTATATCAAAAAAAAATATATTATCTACTATATATATGAATCTATTAATCTTTGCTATGTATATCAATATTAAATATATTAATACATAAATAATTGTTATGATTTAATATTAATATCTATATTAAAATATCTATTTAATAAAATATAATAGCATTTTTATGATGAATTATGATTTAAGTTGTTTTTTCAAGTTTTTTCCTAATCTTCGCAGCTATTTTGGCAGTATTAGGTTCCTAAAATAATATTAAGGAATATAAATAATATAAAGGAGAAATAATATTAGAATACTAATATTAATTATTGATTTTAAATTAAAAAGTGTAGGGCCATTTCTCCCAATATTATTATAAATTATTTACCTCTGGAAGTGCAAAAGACCAAACAAAAGCAATGATAAGTAAAACACTGCACAATAAACATCGTGTGGAAATTTTTAGATCAGTAACCTATAAAAAATCAAGTTAATATTGGAAAATTATTTATAAGAGTTATATTGCAATAATAAATTGTTGAAACTTACCAAGAGTGCTACAACGAACATGTTCAATGGTACTCTGAATAAATTGCTAATAGTAGCTCTCAAGTTTTCAGGTACAACTTTAGCTCTAAGTGTTCCAACAGTAGGGAAATAAAGTCCACATGTCATCTCAAATAAAGTAAAAAAACAAAACAATGTGGTCTCGTTCTATAAAAGCAATTCGAAGTAAATATCGAAAAAGAGAAAAAATTTTGCTATTTTCAAATGAGCCTTACCGGATATAGTAATGGTATTAATAATGAAACTCCTGCTACTAAAAATGTTATTTGTGCAATATCAGATAAAGGAACGTTACGGGGACCACTCAAGTTCTTATAAATTAATGATCCAATCATAATGGCTACCATAAAACTATTGATAATAATAAAAATAATAATATCATAGTATCAAACAAATGTTCCTTGTTGAATAAGTAAAGTAAATATTTATAATACCTAGCGAAAATCATGCCAAAAGGCAGACCCTCTTCTGATTTATGATGAATTTCTAAGAACGGTCCCCAGAAGAATACAAATGTATACATGGAGGCCTCAAATAATGATTGTACGGCTCCAACTGCAAGAACACGAGAATCTAATAATTTAAAAATATTATTATATGATTTATAAAACGTATAACATAATAGACGATGAAAATTACCGTTGCTTATAACTTTCAAAGCTCGAGACAAAGATGAAGCTTCTGTCGCATCATCCTAAAACACATAAAGGGTTCATATTTAGTTATTTTGAAATATGATTGACAAAATAATCTAAGAAATCGTTACCTTATCGGATTTACTTCCATAATTTTCTTTCCAAGTAAAAGTAATTACCAATGATGCTAATGCAAAGAAGCCAATTGCCGCTAAGAAAGGTGACGTGACTCCAAATTGCTTGACTAACCAATTTGCTAATAGTCCACTAAAAATAGCAACAAGCCCGTTTCCATAAATTGCCTGTGAAAAGGTTTCAGATAACAGCGAAGGAGAAAATCCTACAAAAATAGATCAGAATGTTAAAAATATTTAGAATTTGAATATATTGGATAAATGATATCTACCTCTAGAAAAATGTTCGCTAACCATCCAACTTTCAAAAACCGAAAACAAGAGGGATGTACTTATACCGGACAAAATCCTAAATAGGCAGTAAAACGTAATTAATATATGTAATTTATATTTATTTAGGTATTATATTAAGGGTTTCAACTAACCTTCCCATTAATAGTATATAAAAATCTTTTGACAATACAATAAAACAAGACGCAGAATAAAGTAATGCAAAAAGCAAACAAAATTTTTTTCTTCCACTAAGAAACATTTAAAAGATATTTTTTAGTCAATAAAAATAATCATAATTAAAATTAAGATATGCAACATACTATTTATCCGCAGCAGATCCAACAATGGTTCCAAAAATACCACTTGATAAGAATCCAGTAACGAACAAAATTGCCTGCTGATTCAAATCAAATCCATAACTTTTATAAACCGCATAAACGTATGGCCCTTGAAGCCAATCACCAACTATGAAATAATAAAATTATTAAGTAACTGATTTAACTGAATAAAATTGAATTAAATTATAATTATTAAAAATCATTTCGGTTGTAATAAAATAATTACTTACTCATTACTAATAAGTATACAATTAAATAATTTAAGCGAAAATGCTTATAATCTTTTATTTGTCCATGGTCAGATGAGACATTGCTAGATTTTTTTTCTCGAAACAAAAATGTCAATAAAGCACAGAGACCAGACAGAAAATAAAAAGTCCGATTATAATAAAACATTTTTAATTCAGAGGAAGTTTAAAATTTTAAGAAATTCGAAATTTTAATAAATGTGGATATGCAGAATGATGATCCCATTTTTTTTTTTCAAATTTTTTTGATTAGCATTGGTTAATATAAATATAGGTTGCATAAATTAAAAATTTTATTTTATTATTTATTATTAAAAATATCTAATAATTGATTAATTAAAGAAGTTATTTTGCAACTTATTATCATTTAACTCTATTGTTATCTTACAATACTAACAACTGAAAATTAGTATTAATGTAAGATTAATAAAGGATTTAGCTTTAAGATTTTTAGAATGAAAGTTTATGGAGAGCTTTGAAGATTAATACAATCAAAATGCATAGGTTAAGCAATTAGAGTTTTATTATATAAGAATTTGTTACAAGTGTATTTGTTTTTAATATAAATATATTTAGTAACTATCTTGTTGTTGATAAAACTAAAGTAAATTCTTGTTAAAGATCCATATTACAGTCAAACCTCTATATAACAATATGTTGGGACATATAGAAATTTTTTTAAAAAATATTGTTATATCAAATTATACCGATATTTATATGATCTCAAGTATAGTGGGTAAATAAAATTTTATCGGTATATAAAGTTTTTAATAGTATATCAGTATATAGAATATCGGTATATAGAGGTCCAACTGTATTAAAGTTTTAAAGCTACCCTATTTATAAGAAATTTGATAATATAAAAAAATAAATATAAAAATAAATAAAATATAAAATATTGCATATCTGCTACTTCTTATATATCTAATTAGTCTGGAATGTAACGAAGAACTATATAATTATATAATTAGTGATACAAGATATCCTGTTGTTCATCCACTCAAAATTGAGTCAATATATGATTAGTCTTTTTCATTATACATATGCTTTGGACTTAATAATGGTTTTCAAAACCGTTCCCTAGTATATATGATATATACTTTTAATTACTTGTTATACTATTACTAATATTACTTATCTTTTGATATATTTTAAAGTATTACTCATATTATTATAATATTTCTTATATTCAATATATAATATAAGAACTTTGCAATAGAAAGATACAATACTCTAAAAAAAATATTTTTTGAATTAATATTAAAATCTTACTAAAAAAAATTATATTTGGTTTATAAAGTAAAATTTTAATTTTTTTAAAATATCAAATCTTTCTACTGCAAAATACTATATAATTCAGTATATAATATATTAAAACAAAGTATTGAATTATAATATAGTAAGACCTTCCTAAATGCATTCTTTCTAAATGTATGTATATATATTTTTTCTATAAATGTATATTTTACATAGTCTCAAGTATATAAAGATCATACAAAATTTCTCTCTTTAAATATACAGTGAACTCTTGATATAACGAATTCTAGGATTTGGATATCAACTTAGTTATAAGCTTATAACGAATTTTTTAAAGAATTTAATTGGCTAGTTCATTATAGTAAAATAATTTTAATATATTTAATTTAAAATTCGCTATATCAAGGGTCCGCTATATTAAAATTTGACTGTACATCCTCTTTAAATGAATATTTTCAAAATTTTACTATAAAAGAGTATGTATTTAAAAAGGTCTCACTGTATTTAATTATTATAAATACTTATAAAATATAACATAATAGTATTACAATAATTAGTTTATCAAATATAATATTACATTTAGTAAATAAAGAAATAATATTATTTATTTCTTAAATTATATTAAGTTTAATTATAATAATTATAACAAAGATTAAAATGGTTAGATAATATAATTTGTAATTTAATTAATAATAATTCAATTATTTAAATTAAAATAATAATAATAATTTAAAAAAAATTTAAAATTTATTTTTTTTTATAAAAAATATTCTTTCTTTATATATTTTTTTTTTATATATTTTATATATTTATAAATTTTTTTTTTTTAGTAATATAATACAAAAAATTTTATCAAAAGAAATTTTTATTAGTTATTTTACTATTCTTTCTAAAGAAAGTATAATGTATTTCAAATACAATTAATAATGCTAAAAAAGAAATTAAATAATAAATAATTAGTAGTTATTATTTATAATTATTTTTGAAAAGTTACTTCAAGTTATATAATTTCTTTATAGTATAATTACTCTAAAAGATAATTATTATAAGTGAATTTCTTTAAAAAAAATATATCTACAACTAATAAATATCTGTAATATACAGACAGTAGTATGCAAAAAAAATGTCACTTTTTAAAATTATGATAGTTATATAACTATTGTATCAATTAAAATATATAATATGTTATTTTAAAGTTAAGAAGTGGTAGACTTTATTTTTAAAGTCATTATATAATATTTATTTACTATTTTTCTCAATAACCTTTTTGTAATATCATAATATTAAATTTACAAAATCAATTAAAAAAGTATTTGATATTTTTTTACTCTACATTTTAAAAACTTTTTAATTTATTAGCCAATATTACTTCATATTCTTTTAATAATTTATCTAATAGTTTTCAATAAATTTTAGATCTGCATTGTTAAATTCCAATCTATAATCTTTGAGATATTATTTTCAAGAAATTACTGTTAAATAATCAAATTACTTAGTAAATTAACTAAAATTCTTGGATAATTATCTTTCTAAAGCATTTTTTACATTTAATCTTCAATTTTTTTAAGGTTTAGTGATAGTTTTATATGAAATTTTTATTAATAAATGTATATTAGCAGCATTGTATACTCCTGTTTTCAAAAATGTAATTTTATTTAGGATTAAGTTTTTTGTCTAAACAAGATCATTTTAAAGCTCAATAAATTAAAATTTTTATTAAAATATGATAAAAAGTATTTTATAATAAGATTACTATAAAATATTGTGACTAAATGTAATTAAATGTATTAAAAAATATTAATAATTCAGAAATTATAAAAATAGCTATAATAATAAAAATTAACAAAGATTTTGAATTTCTCACTTTTCTACTGATTGCTTCCTATATACAGTTAATTTGTTATTATATAATTAAAAATATATAAATAGTATACTTTATAAATATTAGAATAATAAGAAATTAGAATTTTTCTAGCTCAATGCTAAATGTTTTCATCATTTTTTCCATTTTTTTTAATAAATATTTTTATCTTTAATAAAGTGTCTTTTTACTTAAAGTATATCTATTATTACAATTATTTTAATGAATTAAAGTAAGATACTTATAAAAGATTTAACCTTTAAATACTTTGTCTAATTGTAATAAATTATCAAATTGTATATTAACAGTAAAATATTAAATCAGATTAAAGGTATAATTAATATAATAAAGATTTTATCCTATATTTTGATTTTCTTTTTAAAGATATAAAAAATAATAATATTTATATAAAAATTATAGATAGAATATTAATAAATAAATTATTTATTATAAAATATTCATTAAATTCTAATATTCTTTTAAATTTATTAAAACAAGTTTATTTTATTTATATATTATGCATTAAGTGTTAAATATATTATTTCCAAATAATAATATTTCAAAAAAATTAATTTTTTAAAAAAAAAATAACAAAAAAAAATAATCAAAAAAAATTGATAACAATTAAGTTTGATTTTTAAATATTTTATTTTCTATTAATTTATCTGAAATTGTTATTTAAATTATAATATTAGAATTTATTTTACTTCAATCTCAAAAAAAATGTTTATATTTTAATTTATTAATAATAAAAATGTTAATAGTAATTTTTTTAAAATTATATTTGATTTATTATGTTTATAACATTTTATTTTATTAGTTATAATTCAAGAAAAGTAATAAAATAATAAAAAAATTGGTTAATTATATTATATGGAAGGTTTGCTAGGAAAATGGGGCTCTGAGAAATTTTTATTAAAATTTTGCATTTTAATTTTTGATAATGTTAGATTAAAATGCAACATATATTATAATTTTAATAAAAAATGCTCAGAACCTATTTTCCTAGCAAACCTCCCATATGAATTATTTCAAAAACATATATTAAATATGAATTATTATTAAAGAAAGAATATTTGTAATCATTTATAAAGAAAATACAAATTAGTTAATTTTAGAATTATTAAAAATACTAGTATAATAATTACTGATCACTATTTGTTAGAGATTATTATACTTATATAAAATACTTTCTGATATAATTTAATCAACTTAAAGAGGTTTTATTATTTTCATTTTCAGTAAGTATCTTTTATTTAAATTTATTATAAAATAAAACTAATTTTTAAATGTTTATATTTCTTATTATTAGATAAAAAATGATTCAAATATTTTTAATTCAAAAGAACAATCATTTTTATCTAATAGTAAATCTGATAATTCTAATTTAAATAATATAATTTATGTTTTTTAAAAAAATATATAGGAAAATAATGATTTAGTTTATGACAATTTCATTATTGCTAAAGAATTAATGCAAAAAAAATATATAAAACACCTTTTATAAGGTGTTAATTCTAATAATATAAAGAATAAAAAGGAAAAAACATGAGCAGTAATCAAAAAGTATTATAAAAATTATACTTTTAACAGTTATTTATGTAAAAATAATACTTGGTAACAAGTTATATAAAAAAATATCAAATAGTAAATTCCTGATAAGATTTTTAATCTTTATCTTAATAAAAGCATTTTGAACAAATATAACAGCTTAAAGATAAATATTTTTACCATAAAAATAGAACAGTTATAAACATTAATACAACATATTAATACAATCATTTTTAAATATTGTGTTATTAATATTCTTTGAACACTATTGTCATAGCTAAAGAAACATATTTTCTTATTACAGTTATTGCAGAATTTAGTAATGAGTTTAGTCAAAAATCCATAAATTAAAATTTTTTTTTTTTTACATGTAGATGTTTTTTAAAAATAATAAGTTAGTAAAATCACATTACGGATCATAAGATTCACTATATCTCATGACTTGATTTTACTGGAAACGTTCACCATATGCACAATTCTACTATCAAGGTCTTTCTATTACAAAGTTCATATTATAAATCCTCGTCGCAATTTAGGAAGAAATTCTGCGAATCCAGTTTTATTCCTCGTTGCAAATTAATATAATATCCGGCAGAGGTATATATGATCATAAGATTTTGAGTATTTTAAATACTTCTCAACCCACGAAAAAAAAGTACGATGAGGCAGATAAGTTTGAACTTATAATTAGAAATTCCGCTTGAAAAACATTATTCCACGATCAACTCTGATCTTGTTATTATAAAAGCTTCCTGTGATAAGTATTGATATCCTTGTTTTTGATATTGTATACATTCACTAGTTATTAATAAAATACCTCAAGCACACTATAATATTAAAGTTAATAATTAAATTAAATAACCTTTTTTGTGAACATTCCCATCAACATTTATGTTTTAGTATCAGACTTGATTCTAAAGAAAGTCAATCCCAATTTGCCCTTGAGAAGTTGTTCTTCATAAATTTCTTGATCTTGTACGGTCCAATTTATACCATCGTTCAATTTTTTCTTAGACAATCTATTTTAAATATAAACATATATTAATACAAATAAAATATCTAAATGTTCCTATAATATCAATATATACCTTTTCCATTCACGTGTATCACCTGAACAACTTGATACGATAAATGCTGTAAACGACGGTAATTTAGAGTAAATATTTGCAATTCTTTCATTGAATCGCTTTAATGTTGTTAATCTATCTTCTATGTGCTCAGGTAAGTCTTCTAGATCTTTAAACTTTCCCCAAATAAAATTATGGTCATTATGTTTACTTTTATTGGTTACAGATTTTAAAATACCCGAGGAAACCTAAAAATATATATATATATATCCCGAAAATCAATAATAATATGCAATGCAATTTAAACATATAATTTTAATATAAATATCAAACCTCATCATCATTTGTACATGTTATTGAATGATTTGCACCAGCACCTAATAATTGAACTTTACCACTGTAATCAATAAACGCAGAAGTCTTATTATATCTTTCAAGACGTTGTATTATACTTTCATATGACTTATCAAAATCTAGTCCTGTAACCAAAACAAAGTTAATTTAATTATAAAGGATGACTAAAATAAACGCTAATAATATGGTATGTTACTTGAATTTACCGTCGTTCAATTTTAACTTTACAAGATCCATAGTTGCCTTTGCATCCTCAACAGAATCATGCCCGGCAATTATTCCTCCAACCTGAATGGAACGATTAAGCCATTGATATGCTAGCATTTTCAAACTTGACTTATTAAATACGCCTCCAGGGTTTGTATAAAGAATTGAAGTGTCGATTACATATGGGTGCGCAAACTTGAGAGAACAATTTTGTATTATTGAAAATGGAACAAAAAGCATAAAGAAAAATTTAACAACGAAAAGGAGCAAATACCTTTAACGCTTTCAAATCACATTCCAATGAATGACCTACTAAAACAGTATCACACTCCACTAGTTCTAACAAACGTTTTTGTACATCTTTTATAGTAGTTGTTACGCCCTTCAATCTTTCTTCAGTTATTCCACTGTATCTGATTGATATCATATATGTTAATAATATTAATTATAATGATAATGATATATACGAAATAAAATTTACGAGGTCAAATAATCGGTAATTGGTTCTTCCGGCATGACTAATTCATCATAGACAATATTACAATCAATGTCAACAATAGACACACGAGTTAAAACATATAGAGCATTCGATAAACACTATAATGGAATATAAAAAAAAATAAACAATAATTCAAAACTAAATATCAGTAAATAAATTTAATTACCATCTCGCAATCGACAGAAAGAACTCTGAATTTCTTTCTAGAGAGTTCATTGACATTTGTCCAAATAGCAGTTGAACTCATAGGTACTTCAACCCAACCATCGGGTAATACATGGTCTTTTTCCATACAAGTTGGTAAAGGGTAATTATTATGAACCATCTCCTCAGGAGTTAGTAAACATAAATGGATCCGCTCATGAATATCATCTGCCAAATAACAAAGTTAACTATTGAATTGCAATAAAAGAAACAAATTCTTACAACAAATTCGTCATACCAGGATTTTTTTTTGGAATTATTGACTCTTTTTGAGCATCAGATAAAAAACAATTAAAAAGACATCCCATTGGGTTATATATTTTTTTTGCATCACCAGGAGCTCGAGTAATACAACCGTGTGAAAATATTTGTGGAAATATAGGCAGGAATTCAAGGAGATTCAAATCAGGATCACCAAAAAGACCTTTCTCTTGAAGTATTTCCCAATCCAACGGTCTTTCTGCTTTCACGGCATCATTTGCTGTTATTCCAAATAAACTTGGATCAAGGCCGGGTATCATAAGAAAAACGACTTTTTTAATGTTTTGCATGTTCTGTTAAAAGTATGGAATGTTGAAAAAAAATTTGGATAGAAAAACACATATAATTAAGTATTTTAAAAACCCTAACCTCAATATAAAGCCATTGTGGGCATCTATCCTCTTCAGTAAGTATATGCAAAATAAGATTTCTTAGTTCCTGTAAAATACAACAAATTAAAACAAAATTTCATAATTACATTTAAATTTTGTAAGAAATATAACCTTGATTTCTATTATTTTCCAATGGTTTACATCGAAGAAAAATTCGGGATCACGAGACCTTACAGTAGCCTATAAAGAATATTCGTTTATTATATTTATTACTTGTTATATTGAACATCAAATATCTCGATTATTTTATAATAAAAACGAGTTAATAAAATTATTACATCGTTAGTTTTCGCTTTCTTTTTTTTATCTGTTTAATTAGGTATAAAAGAAAGAATTAGACACTAAAATAGACTCCCGTAAGCTAAAAAAAAAATTTGCTTACTAATTTTATTACGATGAGGCTTTGATTTATTTATTGAGAATCGCGCTCGCGAGGAAGCAAAAAAATCCATGGCAGTTGTTATTTTTCGAACTTTGGTTTTTTTTTCTTCGGATTCAGCATATTCTTCAGAATCATTAGATCTTTTTGCGGGAGTTGACATTATGTTAAGTATAAATTTCTAAAATCAAAGAAAAAATATGAATCGATGAGATTTGTTTTTTATATAGATCTTGTAATGGCGCAGTATAACTTCCGCATCATCTTAAGTAGTCAGATGCGACTTTTATTAGTTTATCTTCTATTAAAAGGTTCGGCAATTCAACTAAATCAAATTTAGTCATGATTTTCAATCAATTATTATGCAAAATTTTATATAACAAATTTGTAGTTAAATACATTATAAAATTTATAATAAATCTATTATTTTTAAATAAAATTTCATTTTTAATAATTAAAATATTAAATATAAACAAAAATTTTCAACTTTAGTTTTATAAATAAATAATATTTAAATATATGGGAGGTTTGCTAGAAAAATGGGATTAAGAGTAATTTTTATTAAAATTTTAATCTTTATTGCATTTTAATGTTTGATAATGTTAGATTAAAATTTAAAATTTTAATAAAAAATGCTCAGAGCCCCATTTTCCTAACAAACCTCCCATATTAATAAATGTTTTTAAATATAAATTTATATATTTTGTAAAGTTTTTTTAATAATATAAAAATAAATTAAAATTAAAATTTTAGCTTTTATTAAGTTTATTAAGAAAATATTTTATTAAAAATATTCAAAATTTATTTTAAATTAATAAAAAAATTTTTTGATTTTATGTAAAAAATATTATAAATTTTATAAAAATATTATTTTTGATAACTAATTTTTAATATATCTAAAATTAATTTTAATTAGTAAGTAAAATTCCTTCTAAATTTGAAAGGAAAACCATTAAAGGAATTATATTTCATTTATATATAAAGAATTATAATATTACAAAATAATAATTAATATAATAAATAATTAAATTCAAAAAATTATAATATATTTAAATATTAAATTAAATAATATATCAGAAATTGCTAAATAATCTCTAGCCATTTTTGATAAGTTTGAAATTTCTGTTTCATGTAATTATAAAATAAATAAAATTTATTATTATCCCTTAAACTGTTTTTCTAACAAATTTGCCCAAAATTTCTAAAAAAAAATTTGATTATCAAAAAAATTTATTTAATATAAATCTGATTAATATATAATTTTGACAAATATATTTATCAATATTATGATTATCAAAATCGACCAATTATTTAGCTAACTATTAAAATAAAAATCCAGCAATTAACCTACAAAATGACGATTGTGACTTTTACAAATTTTATTATATTATTCTTTTTTTATCGTTTAAATATCACCATTTATTGCTAATAAACTATTACTTATTATAGAAGTCTTATCTTCTAATAAACAAGATGAAAACTATCTACATGTTGAGTTTTTATGAGTAGTTCATTATTAAATAATAATGAACAAGAATCGAATAATGAAAACATAAATGAAATTCAAATTGAAGAAAATATTAAAGGCAAAAATAATGTTAGTAGGAATCAGAGTCATGGTTGTAGTCATGATCATGATCATAGTCGTGGTCATAGTCATGATCATGAATATGATCATAATATAATAATAGTATCAAAATGCAATTAAATTTCCACCTCTATCTTTTTTTAATACTTTTCAACATACTAAATCTTATATAATTTTACAATAAATTTACCTAGGGATTACTTTCCTTTACTATTATTTTATTCTTTTTTTCTTTTAAATAAATAGAAATAATTGTTAAAAATACCAATATATATGTTTATTCAAAAAATGTAGGAGAAGTGTATAAATGGAAAAATTTAACAATCAAAGAATTTAGAATTTGGTTAGCAATTTTGATATTGTAACCCAAAATGATCTTTAGAAAATTAGAAGTGTGACGCAGTAAAGTGATCTGCAAATGATCATCATGTGAATTGATCCACAAGAATCAATGACACAATAATCAGCAAAAAGATGATCTGCAAAATTAACCAAATCGGTTAATGAAGTAATGAAGTAATAGACCATTAGCCCATGACGACACGCGTAACCTTCTAAACTAGAAACTCCAAATAGGAACTTCAAGGAGAAACTAGTTAAAAGGCTAAGTATAAGGATGTAGCAATAGTTTAAGAACAATATAATTATATTCTCTACATCTCTTCAC